TGAGCTCACCATGTCCCTGAAAAAAATTAATATTGCTCAGTCTTTAACTTGTTTTGGCAACAGCTTTATTTTCATGATAAAAATTATATAAGCAATATGATCTTATCCATGCAGGAAAAGAAAGCCATAACAGATTACTTGCAAAGGAAGAACAATCACATTGAACCCAAGCTTCTCCTGTACAAAAGTGAATATCACAATAATAAAAGGGAAAAAAATTATATAGAATTTCAATAGGACAAGTTGAGTTCTCAGAATTAGAGGCCAAGCTAAGCTATAGCTCTTGTCAAGGCAATAGAAATATAATCAAGTGCACTAATTTGATGTACAAATAATTTATTTACTGTTATAGTTGATTCCTCTGACTAGCAAACTATGGGCTGTTGGAAAAGTCATGACACATTTTTGCAACGAAAAACAGAAAAAATACGTCATGACTTTTCCAACAGCCCAATACATGCATTTCAGATGGAGTTTGATTTTAAACAATATATTTCACACAATACTTGATAGAAACACATCTATTGTAAAGCTGGATCCTGAAGTTCAAGTGCCTTCAGTGACAGGCAAGTAATGTAAACACAGGGAAGAGGCCAGATGGATTACCATGGTATGCCACAGTCATGGCTTTGGGGTTTTAGTGCTGCTCTTGATACTAAGCTTCTGTATCAGGGAAACTACAGGAAGTGGTGAGGACTGGCAGACTGGAGAGGGTCCCAGCAGACTGATCATTTTCAAAAATAAGAACCTGTGTTGCGAGTCTTTTAATTTTTCAAGAGAAATCAGATATTTAGATTTTTTATATTAAAAATCTTTAGTTTACTAATCTGAAAATAAAGGGTCGTCTTGTCCAGAATCAGTAGCTTTCATGCTGTTTTATTCTGTGGACCTCTTTCTTCACATTAAATTCTCCATAAAAGGCAAAAATATGAAAAAGAACTAGATTATATTTTAAATCCTTATGATTTTATGGCATCCTAAATAAGAGTTGACCTAGTAATAAATCATCTGCTATCTCGCTAGTCAGTATATTTAACGCCAATTTAACTCATTAATTTAGCTCGATGTAACATGCATTAAGTGACTACTATGGCCCAGACACTGTGCCCAAGTCAGGATCTGAGCCTTTATGGGTGTATGATCCCACAGTTGACAGTCACACATTCTCATTTCATGGTAGGGATCTTAGAACACCACAGAGGCTGCAGGACATCCTGCTTTTGGAGGGAGTGGGGGAGGATGTCAACCGAGGGCACACTCCGCTGTGCCTTAAAGGATGGATTGAGTTTTTCCAAGCAGAGATAGGACAAATAGTGGGCACCTGGAACAGCATGGGGAGACACACACAGGTGTGACAGTGCACAGTGTACCGAGGAAAAATGAGACAGCTGGTGCACAAAAGGAAGCAACGCCCATTAACCTGTTCACTGGGGAATAATCAAGTGACACTAACCAGTCACTCTCTTTATAATATTCAGCATAGGGGAGGGGGGAAAACAGGGCTCACAGTGACGAGAATGTAAATCCTAGCTTACCCATATCAATCACTTATTCAGTTATATACTTTAAATTAGAATCACAAGGATAATCTGTTACTTTCATAAGTCCAATCGTCTTCCATTTTATAAAGACATACAACACAAATATGTACCGATTTTTACACAAAATATTAATATCATGGGTTTGATTCTCACCATCATTCTAGTCTTAATTTCTAGGATTAGACTCTATAAACTCACAAGAAAACAATGTAAATCATCCCAAATAATTTTGAGTCTACTTTTCCAAGCAATCGTTGGGGCTGCCTCCTTAGTTTGCTAAAAATCCCCAACAACCAGAATGAATGTCCGGAATGCAGACTGAATTCTTGTTCAAAATACAGGACAGACAGGGCTCTATTTATATCTTTAACACAGACTATAAAATTTATAGAAGGAAGTAATCAAACATTCCTCATCTCTGGAGTTCAGTCATACCATGGCATAATTTTCAAGTCAGATTTGAAAATTAACCAGGGTTACTGTACCACTTAAGAGAATTCCAGGTTAATTTTTCTCTTAAATTATTACTTTTTAAGATATACTGTATTTTTAAATATGTATTAAATACTATAATTTATTTTCCCGTTTAGCTCAACAGACCTTAGAACTTGAGAGAACCCTACATTCTTCTCACATTCTTCCCACCTGGTAGGACCCAAAGTTTTTTTCCAAAATTAAAAAGACAGCTAATTGGATTCTCTCTCTTTTAAACCTGCCTGTCTCACTACAACTTCTCAGGTGGATTTATTGACAGTGCCTTTCTTACTTTGATGTGCAAAAAATAATAGATTTAAAGATTGTTAAGCATAACATTAAAAAGGATCTCATGAACTTCAAAATATCCACAGTTCAATAAGATAAAAATAAGGTAGGGAGAAAAGGAAAATAGACAATAAAAAGGGACAGAAAAAATAAAATTAGCCCAAAGTTTAGATTAGCTTACAAACTACAAGTCATCCTATTGTTTCATTTCACAAATCTGAGTCTATATTTCCTAGCAGCCAAGGTGAAGAAGAAAGCATAATTATTCCTTCCATAAAGTAAATGAAAACAAGTTACTCAGAAGAATGACAAATATCCCTAGGTTCTAGTTTTCTGAGAAATTTATTTCATGGGTCCTCATAAAAAGGGCAATTTATAAAGTAGCTGCAAAGAATCCTCTGCCTTAAACTTTAATAATCCATGATATTTGAGATGGATAAATAAATTGCTAAAAAAACAAAAAGCAAAGAGTTCTTGAAGGTGACACTCCTCAGAAGCCATATGGTGGGTGGCTCACAAGTTAAGTCCCCAAAGACATCCGTATAAAAATGTAACATAACTGTTTTTTTCATAAGATCTCTCAAAATAGGCCAAGTATATAAGCAGTCACCAGCAATTCAGTTAATCTGTGTGGGCCTTAATATCTTCAGTTTGAAAAAGGGAAGATGACAAGCCGATGGAATAGCCTAGATAATCCCTAAGCGTCCTTCTAGCTCTGAAAAGTGTCTGTGGGTCTTGACTACATTTTTACTGAGCCCCTACTGTGTGCTGTTTCCCTGGGAAAAAAAGAATTCTAAATACACACACACACACACACACACACACACACACACACACACTCAACTGAGTATTTCATAATTTTGCTATTCTGAAGAGCAGATTTGCTGCTGTTTGCCTGTTATTATAGCCGGAAAGAATCCAATATTTGCACAACAACTGATCCATGAATGTCAACAAAAAGCAGACATCCTCCCTCCTCCTAAATTGTTATTGTTAGTCTCTGAACTCAGATGAAGTTTGGAAACTTGCACTGAATATTCAAAACTCTTTTTGACACCTTCTCTCAGACTGACATTTTCAAACTAATATGTGCATGGGTACATATGCTAAACAAGGCACTCAACACCTCGGTGTTTTACAATGTCATTGTAAAGCATGTCATTGTAAAAAATGTTATTGCAATTTTACAACGTCAGTCTCAAAAAATATCTTCCATCATTAAAAACCCTTAACTGAAGACTCAACTAAAATGTCAGGCTTTTGAAAACTTAGGGACAAAATTGTGCAGCAAAGACAGAGCCCCCAACAACTGGATGAGAATGAAGTAAGACTAAAAACAATTTGACAATATTAAGAGGAATTTTAAATGAGGATACTAGAATCTTCAAGGTATTTTACAAAATCATTATGCTCTGTACCTCCCAGATGCCACAAATATGTAACTTCATATATATGTACACACACACACACACACACACACACACACACACACACACACGGTGCCAAAAAAATGTATACACATTTTAAGAAAGGAAAAAACTGTATTAAAACTGCAGTACTCAATATATACCAAAAACAAAAGATTAATATGAGTCACATTTGACTTCTGCAATTACAAGATGTGCTCAAAGTGGTTACCATCAGCATCCAGACACTTCTGATTATGGCAAACTGCTGCTTGAGCAATGTTGACCAAAGTGTCCACTTGTATATATTTTTTTGGCACCCCCAGTGTGTGTGTGTTTCCCATATTTGGGGAGAAAATATCTGTAAAACTGGCTTAGAATATTTTGCAATCCCTTCTTTCCACCTCATAAGAAGAAAACTATGTAACAAAATAAGAAGTATATTCCAGATAATTTTTACAGTGGCAGAAGCCTGACATTTTTCTATAAATGAAGAGTGCTTTAGGTGTGTTGCTTGGTGGCCCAAATACTATGCACAGTGTTGCTGTTAATAACATGATTTTCTAAAGACATGAACAACTCTGGGTAAATTTCCAAGTAAAACAAAGCACACTCTTTCTTCAATAAACCTGGTAGTTACATTCCTGAAAAATTCAGGGCCTATTAAAACTGTGCAAAAATTGCTTTGAGTGTATATGTAAAATACTATTGAGTTCTCTGCTCAGATAATTATTTTTTTCATCTGCATGAATGTCCAGACATGAAACTCTCATATGGGATATGTATTTTGAAGTATGACTCCCAAAACTTCATATTTTGAAGTCCCACCCTCAGAGTGGGACCTTATTTGGGAATAGGTTCATTGCAGATGTAATTAGTAAGATGAGCTTCAACTGGTGTAGGGTGGAACCCCAATCCAATGTGACTGGTGTCCTTATAAAAAGAAAAAAAATTTGGATGCAGGGATATGCACACTGGAAGAACGCTTTGTGAAGATGAAGGCAGAGTTCAGGGTGATGCTTTGTGCTCCTTTGTTATGACAGCCCCAGAAAATTAGTACAACAGGGGTGAGAGTAAGACTTCTCAACAAATATCTTTTTATATAATTTTCACTTCTTAAGCCAAGTGAAGGTAGTGTCCATTCAATAGATTATATTTTTATACAACCCCCCCCAAGCAAAAGAGGTATTGCTTTATGGGGAGAGGGGAACAGTAGGTAGACAGACATTAGAAACCAATCCATAGAACTCCCCCCAGGGAAAGCATTATGTAATGTAGTCTGTACTAATACCTGAAGAACATCCCCACAGTGCTGGAAAAGTCGCTTCAACCCGAGGTCTGTCACAGCCTGGCCAGCATGGCGGCATCGGTGCAGAGTGAGAGAGTGGGGCTGGCGACAAGCCAGAGCCACCAGCCAGCCATCCTCCAGGACGCAGCAGTCTGAGATCTGGACTCGCTTCCCTGAGGGTTAAAATAAAAATAGTAAATAAAACAATCTGAATGACCAAAAACATATTTCTTATAACTACCAGTAGCATAGGGTGACATCCAAGTTAGAGATGGCATCCCCGGGAAGAGCTATTTACCCTGAGATGTGAAGGAGGGTGGCAAAGGAGGCGGGTGGCACCTGGGGAGATGTTCTGAGGCAGGAAGGGGCTTGGCACAGAGAAAATGAGTCAAGGCTGCAGGGACTGGCATTCAGGCAGTGAGGGGGAGTGACCCAAGATGAAGTGGCAAGGCAGACAGGAGTCAAACTGTGCACGGCCTTCCAGGCCATGATGAAGGTTTGACCCCGATGGTTTTATGCAAGGATCAGACTTGAATTTTTTTTAAAAGATCACTCTAGCTACCTCATGGAGGTGAGAGGAATCATTTTTAAGACGCTCCCCTCCTCTGAAGGGCATATTTCCAGACTGGCCCAGGTGTGTCACTCATTGTCATGGGATGCCATCTCACAGAAGCCAGACATTGCCCTGGGACCTGCTACATACCCAACAGCTGTCAACCTTTCCACTGCCCCTTAAGGAGTCTGTGTGGAATAGTGAAGAGTGCATGGGATATAGAGTCTGAATGCCTGGATTAAAGTTCTGTCTCTGGTATTTATGGCTGTGTGACTTTTTAGGAGTTGCCTAACCACTCTGAGCTTCAGCAAATATGGACCCTGGATGGCTTTGTGGATAAAGAGTAGATGAGGATAGCAGACCCATGTTCTTGTCTATATTCTGCCACTAACCAGCTCTCAGTCAACATGGCCTCAGATGCCTTAGTTATAAAACAAGAACAATAATATCTTTCCTGTTTGCATAGTGTTGCTATTAGGAGGAAAAGAGAGATGGACTGTGGAAAGCCCTGTGAACTACACCATCTTCTGCAAATTGATTAACACCCTCCTTGGGCCTCCGTGTCTCATCCATTTACCAATCAGATCCCATTTAAAGGCTCAAACCTTTCTAGGACCCTTTCTTCCCAGCACTGAAAGTACCATCCCCAGTCATATTTTCAGTCATGTAATTTCAGATGGGCCAGGAACTCCAGGGCACTGGATCTCTCTCTGCTTTAGAGTCATGGTGAGAAAAGTCACAGCTGGGCAAAAAGCCGATTTCCTCCCCTTCGCTGCCCTCACACTGTGTTCTCGCTCCCTACATACACAATTGCCTTTGAAACGCTATACACTCAGGAGCTTTCAAAGCACAAAAAGTTAGAGCATGATTTCTACAAGTTCTTGATCTAAGTTGGCCATCCCTCTTTCTACTTCATGGCAATTCCCTTTTTTCTCAATTTGTTTTTTTTGTTGTTGTTGTTAAACCTGCCTTTTCCTCTCTCCATACCAGCATACCCCTTTTCCCCTGCTTACTTTTAAAATAAGAATTCTTACACGCATAGAGTTTAATAATGTGTTCTCACATAGATGAAATCACAAATTCCTTTTTGTATGTTCTCCATCATCTAAGGAAATAATGGGGAATGATGTTTTTATCCCTATTTTAGAATTTAAAAACTAAAAAAAAACAAAAACCAAGGTCCAGAAAGTCTAGGTGAGTTACTCCAAGGTCACACAGATAGACTGTGGCTAAGTCTGGCCCCACACACCAACCTGCTGACTCTAAACCAGTGGTTCTCAACCTGTGGGTCGTCGAACGACCCTTTCACAGGGGTCGCGCCTAAGACCATCGGAAAACACATATTTTTGATGGTCTTAGGAACCAAGACACTGCTCCTCTATCCGTCTCCATGCTTCAAGACAAAATTTCATTTATTTGTAATTAGAAATAAATATTTCACAATATACAATTACATATTGTTTTTGTGATCACTATGCTTTAATTATGTTCAATTTGTAACAATGAAAACAAATCCTGCATATCAGATATTTACATTACGATTCATAACAGTAGCAAAATTACAGTTATAGAGTAGCAACAACAATAATTTTATGGTTGGGGGTCACCACAACATGAGGAACTGTATTAAAGGGTCGCGTCATTAGGAAGGTTGAGACCCACTGCTCTAAACTAACATTCTAACCACTACCCCTTGTGGGTTCCAGAGGAAAAACAAGAGGGACAGCCAAGAAGGAACACTCACGCCACACCCATTACAGACGGACAGCCTGAAGCCAGAGGTAAACCGGAAAGAGAGGAAAAATTCATTGACTCCAAGGACAATGGAAAGCAGTTTGGGGTCACTCAATCCCCCACAGTCATGTTAAGGGAGGCATTCACACATTTTAAGGCCTTTAAGATTTCTGGGTGCTTCTGTGATCCTCTTCTATCTATGGCCCTGGGTTCCACACATTTCCTTCAGACTTCAAAAATATGGAACTTCTCCCAGTGAAGACTACATGCCTACATGACTATCTCCACTTGACTATCGAATAGTGGGGTAATCATTCAACCATTTCTGCAGAGCCTTCCTGGTTTGCATGGGACTATCCTGGCTGTGCCTATGGTCCCCGTAGTATCCTATTAACCTAGCATGTGCTCTGGAGTTTTCTTTTTTTATGAAGTATTATCATTATCATTTTAATTGCTGTAAGCCAGAATAGGTTTGTCAAATCTCCACTTTGTACTTCCAGCTCCTTATCTAGTAACATGGAAGATGCACAGGCGATAAACAGAGTTTTCACTTTAACATGTGGTTAGATTTCAAATATCCCATCACTCTTTTCCCGACCCTTCCAAGATGAAACAGAACTAATGCCTCCCTCTCAAATTTACCAGGCAGAACACTAATTAAGCAGTGACTTGACTGGCCTAAAAAAATTGACAACCAAAGTGTAATTTATACAAAATGCTGACACTTACCATCCACCAGGGGGCTGTAGTGATATCAGTGACAACATGAAAAACAGACACAAATCTACCAAAAAAGCTTCAGCACTTAATTCAAAGTTGATTTAATAATGATTGTAAGAAAGCTAGGTCCCTTATTTGGGTCCTGGATTAAAAAAAAAAACTAAACTAAAAGCAGGACATTTATGGGGTAATTAGAAGTATGAATATTTTTGTTAGGTATGTGATGATATATATGAACTATTAATTTTGTGGGGTATAATAGTATTACAATTATGTTTTTCACATATCTGCTCAACAATCTCTAATATCTTTCCATCTCCTTTAGAATTAAGAGCTGCAGCTCTTACAATGGCATAATAAGACCTAGTCATATACAAACAGGCCCTATTTATTACCTGTCACTTTATCTCTTACACTCTCCCTCTTAGTTAATAGCTAATTAAAAGAGAAAAGCTTCAGGGGACGGTGGAAACTACAATCACTAAACAGTACAAAGCCAGAATACACTAAAAGTAGTATAAAACGGAATATTCCTTTTACCCTACCAACATTTCTAAGCTACTCTTCAGTTTTTAGAAGCATTTATAAACCTTTTTTTCTAAAATAAAACCACAATTCAGATTTAACTTGTATTCAAAATAAAGAGTAAATAGGACATAAAGGAGAAGATATGCCCAAACACAGTGGCAGAATCTCCAGAGCATACGAAAACTCAGGCTTGTCTCTATCAGGATGCTGTTAAAGGCATGGCCACTATTAGTCCTCACTGAGGCCACACACTGTCCCCTAAATAAAACACATCCTTGATTTAACCACCCCATGGGCAGTAGTGAGCATGAGCTCTCAGGGCAGGTCAGAGCAGTCCTGCACCAGGAAACAACTGCATATCCCTCCCCTCCAGCCCTGTGCTGCTTGCTTAACTCTTTGAGTGCCCCCAACATATTGTGAAACCAAACAACCTGGTTCTTGTCCACACAACAAACACAAGAGCGACTGGGCCTCCCCCGGGATGGCCAGGTGTAGACACCGCTGGGGACGAAGGCAGCCTGTGTGACCTGGTAAGAACTCATCATTACACTCAACAAGCAGAGTTGATACTAGAGACTGAAAGGCACAAGAAAAGGACTGTTACATCCGTAAACCTTCTCTAAACAACCAACCAGAAAGACAAGTCCAGGAACGAGCTGTGGCTGCCCATTGACGCAGAGCCTAGGGAGCCAAGGGTGTAAAATAACATGCAACCCTGTGGCCATGCCTGCAGTAAGACACTATGAGTATTGTGGCATTGCCATTAGCACAATGTGCGTGTGTGTATGGGTCTTGTGAAAGAGACGTCTTGAGCCTGAGGGCTCTTGTTCAAGCCCCTTCCTTGTTCAGTGGTGTTGTGTTTCCAGGTACTGTTTTCACCAGACTGAATACACACCTACAAACTCTGCTGCTCCTCCTCCCCCTGCCTGCCCCACTCCCACCCCCAGGCAGATCACCTGTCACATGAAAGATTTGTTTAGTCACTGCTAAACAAGCATTGCTCCTAGCTGAGTTTCCAGCCTGGAAGTAATTAATTCCAATACCACTCACCTGTGGCTCTGGTGTTTGGGAGCCCAGAGCCCTGGCACATTCATTTGGGCTGCAGTGTCAGATCTCAATGCGACTACACAGATAGAGCATGCTCTCTTCATCTCTTTTTACAATTGACATTGAGGTCCAAATATATGCATTCAAGGAAGGGAAGTTCACTGCAGAGTATAGAGGTTTAAAAGCAATTGGGTATGGAGCCAGGCTCCCAGGGTTCAAATCCTAGCTTTGCCACTTACTAGCTGTGTGATCTGGGAAAGTTAATCTCATGCTTCTATTTCCTCATCTGCAAATGGGTTCAAAGTAGCATCTTCTTCAGAGGGTTGTTGTAAGGATTCAGTTAGTTAATGTTCGTGAAGGGCTTAGAACAGGGCCTGCAGGAAGTCTGACATCCATGAGTCCCAAAATAAGGCACTTAAGGCAAAGTAAATAAGGAGTGAACAGACAGACCTGGGGAAAAACTAGTGTGGTGGAAATCGCCCTGCAGCTGCCCGCAGGGGTGGGGGCTGGCTCTGCCACAAACAGCCCACATCTTAGGTAAATCACTTTAAAGTCTTCTGGTCTTATCTTCTGCAACTTGGTCTGGCAATA